GCACTAGTAGGCGGGTGATGTTACTGGCATGTACGCCGAGAGGGGTACGGGAAGATTCTTAGACTAGCCACAACGTATGTTTTCTGCGATGCTGAAAGAGGAGAGAGAACGTCCAGGCACCGGGTAGACACGCTGTGAAGGGCGATGCTGAAACCAAAAACATCCTACCCGAGTCATCTTCCTTCCCCGGTGCTTAGAGAATAAAGAAGTGTTTTTTGCACCTGTTGGTTCAGACCAGCACCCTGCCTCCTTCGTTTCACCTCGCCATCAACGTCGGAGTTGGGGTCCACATACTCTGGCAGGCACCGATGCCGACACTCTGAGCATATAATACGTCTTGGCATTGGTAGATGTGGCACAACGAAAGTTTTTTCGGCATCGCTACGTTGTGGGTAGTCTTAGGTCATGGTCTGGGTAGTAGTTGGCCATGGCAGCGTGAATAGGAGAAGTCGTGAGCAGAGAATGGTGACAAAATAGGAGAAGACTCGATCTGAAACCTAAGCAAAATCCGAGGTCCAAACTTAGTGGACACACCATAGGCTTGGCACCCGGTGTAGCTTGGAGTTTGTTCTCTGCATGGATCATTAAGTCTAATTGAGGTCAACGTTTGGTATTGTGGATGTCAGTATAATGTGGTTTCCCTTTCTTGTGTGAGATCTTGTGTAGAATTTGTTGGTACTCTATTGGATACACATTTGATAGTTCCTTTCACTAAGATAGTTGTTCTTGCAAGAGAAGTTGTAAATGTCGTTTCTTTCATTATTCAGTGGCTTGGTGCACACATTGGTGTTCACATGTGCAAGTTGCTCATTTAGTGAGTGTTGGTGGCGGAGTTATATGTTTTAGGTGGGGTACATTTGGAAAGTATGGATTTGCATTCACTGTTCTTGGCATATCCTTTGGTGATCAAGGAATTTGTTTAGATTTGGTTTAGAAGGTCAATTGCACATCTATCGACATTTCCTAGGGCTAGAATTTATTGAAGACTCAGTTTTGTTCATCTAATTTGTTAATATGTGCTTGAGACTTCCTGCCTGTCTTGCCTACTCGATTTGGCGGCTTCATGTGAAACATTTATTGGAGGTTTTGTTTATGCATTTGACTTGGAGTTGGAGATTGTGCATTTGGCATCAAGGTCATGGGTGTGTTGGCCATATATTTCATTCGTAAGAGTTCATTGATGCACTTGTTTGTAGCTCAACTGTTTTCCATGTCAAACCAAGCTACCTACATGTTGCAGGTGACGAATTTGCACTTGTTGATTGTTCATTTGAAGATGAATGATTTGAATATTGGACTTTCGACATCTAGAATATTTGTTTACTCTATGGTTCAGTCATCGCTGAGTTGAATAATTGTGATGCTGCAGCTGACACTATTTGAGGTTGATTTGAGCAATTACAATATATGCAAAATGATGCTTATATATTTGGTTAGGTTGTCACACCCGGTTTTATAAAACAAAACTGAATGCACATCACATGTATGTCAGGATCTGTTTATTCATACATGCGATGACAAATAGTGATACAAAGCAGCGTTTATTACAAAAGCATAACATTATTAGAAAAATGACCAAAGGGTCTAAATCCAAAATTAGATCAAAGTTCTAGTAGAGCAGGGTCTCCATACCCGCAGGCAGCCGACCGGGGGTACACTAGCCTAGCATCGACACCGTCTTCAGGAAACTCCATGCACCGACACTGTCTCAAGCTCCATCTCCTCGTCCGAACAGCTAGGTGGGGTAGCAAGGGGGACAAAGAAAAGGGTGAGTACATCGAAATGTACTCCATAAGTGTAAGAAAATATGACATGAGGGCCAACACAAGGAAAGGCTGACGGGGTTTGACTCGAGCACCTAACTGACACATCCTATATCACCTTAGATCCTTAGCACCTAATTATTAAGTGAAATTCTGCCTTCTCCTCATAGAACCAACTGAACCAACACTCGGATCCCATCCGAGCACCACACTTGGATTCCATCCAAGCTCCCAAAACCATCCACCCATTCCCTTACCAAGGTGCTGTTTAGTTCCCAAAATTTTGCAAAATTTTTCAAGATTCCCCGTCACATCGAATCTTTGGACGCATGCATGAAGCATTAAATATAAATAAAAATAAAACTAATTACACATTTTTAGACGAAATTCACGAGACGAATCTTTTAAGCCTAATTAGATTATGATTGGATACTAATTGTCAAATAACAACGAAAGTGCTACAAAGACCCATTTCCAAAAAAATCGCCAACTAAACACAACCCAAGGGAATCACCCAACCATCCGAACCAGAGCCATCTAATCAAGAAAAGTCCAGGCCGCTCTTGTCCGTGAGCACGACTAATATATTAGTTTTACACTCTCATGAGGTTATACACTTTCACCATTTAATCGTGTTTTCCCCATCACGCTTCACATTACTTAGGTGCTTAGCGGGGTGACACTACAAGGCCTTTATAAAGCTGTTGTGTCCCACCCCTGTGCATTCACTAAGGATTCGCCGATTTAGGCCCCCTCTTGTGCCACCAAACTCTCCACAATGCACAGAAACGGGCAGCTAATTAGTTAGCCAAGTCGCACCATACCATATAGACATCGTGGCTGCGTTGTTAAGCCGGGTTACTTGTCCATGAACCGGTCCTTAGAATCCAAGCAGGTACGAGCACCAGCCCTTGAAACACAATATATATCAAAACCAAATACCATCATACCAAACCTTCCATCCTGCTCAAATTCCCTATTTACCATTGTTGCTACTAAAAGAGGTTACCGAGGTTACCAACCCCAGATCCATGTGCATAGTCAATTAATCAGGTTTACATTATAACCAACCCAACCATCCATGACAAAGAAGGCTAAGCATGACTCCTACCCATCCAAACCAGGTTTCAAGGATGATATAACAAGTTCTAGTCAACCCTAACATGGGATTCGAATTTAGATTCTGCATACAAACTAATGGTCTAACTACTCTAACTCAAAGTAAAACAAAAATATAGGAGCAAGTATGGTCAAGGACACTTGCCTAAGAACACTGTTTAGACATACATCATGCATGTGTCCAAACATACAATGTGATGGAGACAAAACTTTATGGGAGAACTAAACAAGGCCTTATATGCCAGGTTTGGGTTGGTGGAAAATTAAGGTTTTTGGATAAAAATGAATTTAGCGAATTAAAATAATTTTAGAAAATCTAGAATTAGTATTTAAGCCTTGAAAAATAGCTCGAAGCTCAGAAAAATCACCAGAAAAATTCTGGAGATAGGTTGAAAGATAAGGAACTCAACTAAACGAGTTTGAGCTCATGAAAAGATGGTTGAGATAATCAGAGAAAAAGATTAAGGTCAAGGAAAAAGGAATTAAATTCCAGAAAAGGTTGGAAAATTCCCTGAGAGAATGAAACGTCGCTCTAACGTATTTTGAAACCATTTGCACTCATAAACACCAAATGCAACCAGCATGAATGCAACACCTTTTCAATGTAAATTATAAAAAAGTTATTTAAAATTTCACATTTTGCACTTTTTAAATTACTAAAAGCCTAATTAATCTTGGAAATTTTAGAAAAATCATAAAAACATTAACTTTATTTAGTGCAAACTATTCACAACCAAAATAGAAATTTTGGGGTGTGACATAGGTGTCTAGGGGTCATTTGTAATATTCTTCAAATTTGAGTTACCTTTTGCAAGGTGGGCAAACCAGCCCAAATGGGGAGCCCAAGCTCCCCTTCTCATGGTGTGGCTTGTTTCCCCCTGTTTTCGGGTTGAGAGAGGGAGGAAATTTGAGAGGGTGTGGCTTTGGTATACTAAATCCATCCACTAGAGGGAGAAATTTGTGGGGATTTGGAGCCTCCACCAACCTTGTTGGCTCCCACCTCTTGTATCTTCATCTTCTAGTGGATTGCTAGCTTGTCTCCGCCCGCCCCCGCAAGGGGCGGGGTTCAATGTAGATTTTGTGTAGTTGTGATTCAATATTCCTCTTGCCATATGAGTTGATTGATTTTCCATCATGCATGGTATTGGCGCCACTTGTTGAAGATTGAATGAGTTTGCTCATGTTAGATGGCATATTGTTGTGTTGACATGTGAGGCATATGTGTTATTTGATATGTTGATGATTTAGTGATGGAAATTGAAAGATTGTCTAGCTAGTTATTGCAAGTGCTTTGTGTATAAGTCACATGCTAAACTTCGGCTCAAAATGTCAAGAAACGACTCTGAATATGTGTCTTTCGAGTTCATGGTCTGTGCAAATTCTAACTTTCAAACAGCCTGTTCGCTCGTTGGTTTCAGCCAGCCCAAACCAGCCAGCCAACAGTATTTTTCTCTCACAAAAAACCAGCACCAGCCAGCCCAAACCAGCACCAGCACCAACCAGCGAACAGGCCCAAAGTTTGGTCGGGAAGTTCCGAACCAAACTTCTGAGCATTCAAAACTTTCAAAGAAATCTCCAAAAGTTCCTAATTTTGTTGATCCGTTTACATTTGGGTGTTAAACTTTTAGCTCCCGTTTGTTCCATTGATACCGTCCGCTGCGCCCACAATGGATTATCCTCTTTTGTGAAGTCATGTATGCTTAGCATCTTCATTCTTTTGGCTTGTTATTAACGTATTATTTGTGGTTGTGTAAACCAAAAATAAGACCACAAAAATTTACAAGCAACCAATCACAGGGTTGGACATGACTCATGAATACATCATATCAAAATTTACTAAACTATGATAGATATGCACATTAGGAAGAAGGTTAAAATATCCTTGTGGTCATGATTGTCTTCCCAATCTCGAGGTTTTTCTGGCCTTTTCTATGTGTACTACAACAAAAATGAACGAGTGATTTACAGCATATGGCTGAAGATCCAGCAACCTCTCTCAAAAGGACTGACATATTCATCTGTCAAACATCAATGTATCACCCAGTAGGATCAACATGTTTATCTGTCCCTGACCATGGTGAAGTTGGTCACAACAAAACCAAGTTTCATCTGGATTGCTTACTTCTTGGTTCCTGTTTTACCATTTGGAGTTTTCTTTCCTTCAGCACCGCTCTTCTTGATTAGCGTTGGTGAGGGTGCACTCAGCTTTTTCTGTAATGGCGATGACCTTTTTGCAGGATTCACTCTAAAGTAATTAAAAAGAAAACCGCATAGTTCAGAATAGTTGATCTTAGCATTTGCTAGTTACCTTCTAGCATAATTTAAAGATATAAATTAGAGTAGATGATTACCTAAGGTCTGAACTTTTTGCACCTTTGAGTTGGGTCTTTCTTGCAGCTGAGCCCCCTCCATTTGTTAAACCTGAAGCTTTTGGGGCACTAGATGGTCTCACACAATCTAGCTCTGACGAGCAATTAGTTGCAACCTCGAAATCATCGGAATCCTCTGTTGCAACAGACCCAGACCAGCTCCATTGCTGTTCAGGGCTGCTTCTTTGGTAGAAGGCTAGATCTTGTGTGCCATCAGGTCCCAACTCTGGCAGGGAATTGCTGCTCCCGAACTGTGAGTGCTCAGCCAAATCTCCCAATGCTGAGTCGTTCTGAGCACCATTACAAGTATCAAGCCATGAATATGGATCAATTCAAATTGTGACCAAGGAAAAGACCATATCATAAATTTTGACTAAAAAAAAGGAATACCTCTATACTTCCATCTTCTATTGGGTGCCTCGATGCAGGTGATGCATTACCCGTTCTCATTCTATATATGTCTGGGCTTGATTGAGTGCTTCGTATGCTCTCATGATCTCCATCTTTCCTAGCTAATGCTGCCCTGAGGCAAGCAATCTGTAGTAAGAAAGTAATGAGGCACAATTTCATAGAATATATTGGTCACAAGCCCTGTGAACTCAAGAAAGCCATGAAGCAGAGTTCATATAGACGAACCTGTTCTTTGAGCTCTCTGACTTCTCCTCCTTCCTTGTTTGACTTGGCTGCTCCAAGCTCAATAGTGGCAACACGCTCGGCAAACTTCAAAGTACTTATGGACTCACTAACAGCATCTGGTTCTGGAGCTATGTGAATAAACATCAATGTTTTCGCTTGTCCTCCTGAAAAATGGAAACAAAATACTTACAACACATTTTTTTGGTGCCGACAAGTTGCAAACCAAGGATATGGAGCTTTGGATAGTTACCAAGAGAGTCTTGTAATAGTTGAGTAAGTTTGCTATTTCTGTAAGGAACATGTGTGCTTTTCTGGGCTAGGGCTGCAATCACATCACCTAGTGCAGCCAGTGACTTGTTTATGTGCGCTGCCTCCTTTAATCTATCTCCTACCACTTCAGATTTATCAACTCTTTCACTGCCAGCTAGATCCACAAGATGCATGCAACCTCTTAGGACTGTTCCAGATGTTAAATCTCGTCCTTGAACATGAACAGTCAGACAGCTGTAATCGGTTTACTCAAACATCAGCTAAAAACACCAAGTTCAACATCATGCCTGGAACTGGAGGCACTAATGTAAAAGCAACAAACAAACCTATGGGAGCGACTACTTCGGTCATTCATGGCAGTTGAGCAAACTGCACGATTCTTTTGGCCAAGATTCATCAAGTCAATTACATCAGAGGTCGATGTGACTGGAACCACATTTGCATCTGGAACTGCAATTCCTTTCTGAGAATTATTTCGAATTTCCAATGTTTCTTGTCGTTAAGGAGGTCCAATATCATAAATAAAATAGATGTTCAATATATGCAAAAAAAAGTTAAGATATCTAAAAGCAGGATTAATATCAAGCTCAGTACGAAATTGCTTTCAGAAAAAAAGGCTCAGTACGAAAGGATATTTTTTGTTTCCACCATTCTGAAGGAGATCTCTCACTTGCTCGTTGTAGACCTCCATCATCTGTACAGCAATTTCGTAACAAATTGTATCTTTCCTCTGCTCCTGGATATTGAATAGATCATTTAGTGCTCTGTAGTTGACACCGAGCCCTTCTTCTGTCAAAATTTTGGGACCACTCTGCAGCAGCCAGAAAACAATGTTTTCATATTGCAAAAAGTATCAATACTCGTGTAAAAAGTAACATAGTTGACAGGTCAAGCACCATTGTAAAGGTCTTTCCCGATCCAGTTTGACCATATGCAAATATACAAACATTGAAGCCATCAAGAACAGAACGGACCAAAGGTTGCATGTCTGTAAAGACCTCCTCTGCACTAATTGAAAGATTTTGTCACTTAACTAAAAAAAGGTCTAATTTCAAACAAATAATTCAGTGGAGCAACTTGTGAATTTAACCTTGTGTGGCCAGAGGCCCAAAGACACTGTTGAAAGTAAAAGACTTCTTTGCATCTTTTCCATATTTTGATGGTACCATAAGTGTGATGGTTCTGTCTTCTATTCCAGCAACACTGCTCGAGGAACTTACTTTTCCAGGAAGGAAAGGTCTCACTCGACAGTAAACTCTGATATTTCCTTGTGACAAAGAAGAAAAGAGATTTTTCAGCATGCACGTCGCATTAAATCATGAAACATAAGTATATAGTCCTCATGTTTCTAGTACATAAGACTGAAAAATTATACCTCTAAGGTCTTGTATTTGGTTGTAAAGCTTGCGGTTTTCCTCAACAACCTTACGGTATCCAGAAGCCGCATGAGAAACAATACGCAAATGATCACCTAATATAACACAATATGATGATGAACACCAAAACTTTGGAAGAAAAATGTTTAATGGTTACAGATGTCCAAAGTTCAGCACGCAATATACCAAGCTTTTTAAGGTCTTCAGAGTACAACAGTTTTAACTGCTCCATGCAAGACTTAACAGTGGACATGTTACTTTTCAAATCCTACAGTCAGTCTCAATAGTCACTGATTGATAGTGGAAAATACAACTAAATTCACTGAAGAACACAAACCATTTGAAATACCTGGATGTGTTTCTGTTCTCGATCAAAATTTCTCACTGGCTTTGGCATATGTTTGTTGACATTATCATTGCTTAGTGGTGCAGGTACTAATGTACTTACATCTTCCGTCAGACTTGACGCATTCTTCTCAACTTCGTCCATCTTAATATTTTCAGTGGCCTAATGACAAATATTAGTGCATGGACCAATTTCAGCCAGAATGAAAAATTAATAATTTTCACATGTTTGGATGAATAGTTCTATAATACTCCTTGAACGCCGGTACTCGTCGTGGCTGGCCGGTGGGGGCGAAGCTGGGCCTCCCGGGGCCAGATCTGGCGTTCTCCACCGCGCGGGCCCCTTGCGCCGCGGATCTACCGGCGCCGGCGACGGCCGCGGTCACGGCCGGATCTTGCCGGGCCTTGCCTGCTTTGGGCGCGCGCCTGCCCGCGCGCTCCAGGGCAGCAGCTGGCCGGGACTCCGAGCGGGGCGGCGGTGACCTGCTAGGGCCGCCCGCGTCTGGTGACCAGCCTGGTCGCGTGGCAGCTGGCCACGGCCGGGCCGGCAGGTACCTGGTGCCTGCCGCCACCCCCCAGTTAGTGTTCCAGCCCCTCCCTCCCGTGGACATGGTGGTTGCCTGCGGCGGCTCGTTCTTGGCGTCCGGCCTTCGATCCGGTGCAGTGTCGCAGGATCCAGAGGCCACTTGGCCGGATCTGGTGATGTCCATTAGGTGCGTGTGATGGGCTCCGGTAGCATTGTGGGCGCGCAGTTTGGCAGCGGGCGAGCCGGCGGCGGGGCCGTGTGCCTGTTCGCGTTTGTATGCAGGGTCCAGCAGTGCTGCGGTGCGTGCGGTTTGGCCATCTCCTCTGTGCTGCTCTCTCTGGCCATCTGCTGCCACTGAGAGCCTACTCTGCCCCTTGACAGGGAGGGTAGAGCACCGGGTGGATAGATTGAAGGCGTTGGCCATGCCTGTGCCGGCGACAGCGGTGACAGCATGGTGGAGGCGTCGGGGCGTTGCTGCTGCATGGGAGTTCTTTGTTCTGTGGTTGTCCTCCTCTCTGTGTCCCGTGTGCGTTGTTGGTGGTGGTGTGGTGTAAGTGTGCATTCTCTGTTGTATCTTCTTGAGCGGTAATCTACATTACCTCTCCAATGCAATATATTCAGGTGGGGAATTCCCCCCCTTCCCCTCCTCCGGTGACTCAAAAAAAAATGATAGTTTTGTCTTGAATCAAACTTATTTAGCTTTGGCCAAATATATAGAAAAATACACCGACATCTACATATCAAATTAGTTCCATTAATTGATCATCATAAAATGTTGTATTTATGTGGTATTCTAGATATTAATGTATTTTCTGTAAATTTAGTCAAAGTTAGAGATGTTTGTCTAGGGAGAAAATAAAATATATTACATTTTTGGACAGAGGGAGTAGCAAATACTTAATTGTAGTATTGTACCAAATTAAGAACATTCAGTTATTGCTGTATTCACAAAATGTGGATACCTCTTCCAGATCACTGGGGGAAGTAGACTCCACTTGTGTAGAGTCCACTCTGGATAATGACTTACTGACATTGGTGTCAAAGGGAGAGTCAATTCTCAAAACTGAGTTACGGTCATTTGTATCCGTAGTGTCTTTCACCTGTTCCATAGTCTCTATTATTCCAACTGTGCATATGGTTGGTTAAGTCAAAACTCAAAACGCAGCAAGAATTGAGAGGTTGGTAAAAGAAGTGAATATACCAATTCACTCTGGCTTGCAATACGGCGCTCAAATTCATTAATTACTTTGCTCAAGAGTGATTCTACAACCTGAAAATTTACAGATTCAGTATGAATATTTATTCTCTCAACCACATTGCATAAACAGCTAGCTACACAGTAGGCTCACTGAAGGAATTTCTTCTGGTTTCTTATCTGAGAGAACTGTTTGAACAAGCATCCGGATGGAGTCTGGAGTAGTCTACAGCCAAGAAGATGAGTATCACCACAAATTAAAAAGAGAGTTAAGTAATGTGAAAGAAGAACTGGGTGATGGATTCTTACTGTTTCAGTGGGTTCTAGAGAAAAATCAAGACCTATTTGCTCCAGTGATATGCCATCTCGAAGTAATTCAGCTGAGTGACTCCTTATCATCACCTTCATAAAAGGTTCATTATTCTTGCGAATGGCATACTTTGCAGACAAAGGCTTTACAATGCCACCATATTTGAATGGAGATTGTTTTCCCACTTGCTTAGCATCACAAAATAACTTCAGAGCAAGAACACAGTCTACAACTCGAACACCTTGTCCACCCTGAGGTTGATGGCAAGTGAAAATATAAAATTGGGATGGCTAATATAAATAAAATTAGTTAATAGTATTTTTACAGCAGCACTCCTTATTAATCAGGGAGTAATCCACTAAATAGTACCAAAATTGTGGAGTTAATAAAAACTTGTCGATCATTCAAAGTAAAAGTAAATAAACCAGGCAATAGTGTAACCTTTTCCAGGTCTGATGCCTCAAATGTTGGAAGACCTAAATCTTGCAGGCCAATGAGGAAATTCCTCACATTCTCAAAGTACTGATATGCACACAGAGCTGTACCATCGGCAGGGACAGTAGAATCCGATGGCACCTCCACAACCTAAAAGCATCATACTTAGCATGCAAAATCACAGCAGAAAATGAAATACTACAGATCTGAAGGAGAGAAATGCAACCTTGGGTACCGCACCAGGTTGAATCTTATTGAGTGCATTGCAGAGAATAATGCCATTTCTCAGGCCAACACGGAATTCCTCCTCGGAAGGCTCTTCTGCAAGGTCCTTCGCACACACTACCCCAACTATCCTTCGCAACCAGTTGGCTGCCTCATACCTTCTTATTGCTGCATTTCTCAAACCAAAGGAAGCACCAATTCAAATGGCCCCGATTTATGCTAAGTTGCTAACAACAAATGGCAATAGGTGTTTTTACATCCAAAGATACAAAAAATAGACCATACCATTATTTTAAACAAGTGCTATATCACTTAAGTGTAAATATGGGCTAGAAGCCTAATGACAGTATGTAAAGAACTCGATTACTTCCTTCAAAAAAGAACTCGATTACAAGAATGGCGTTGTTTACAACCTAAGTGGAATAGTGGATCAGCAGTCATCACATTCTTAAACAAAAAACAATGGTATTCTATATATGCAGCCAGGTTTGGAGGTCCACCCTTATTAATGCCACCTCTTTGTCATGACAACCACGACGATCATAAAAGTAACTACCTATAAACTACAATTAGGTTGTTGGCCATTGCCCTGTTTTATATGGTCAACTCAAGAGCAAGCAAGGAGTGACAAGGAACAAAGGCGCATAGCAAAGAAGAAGGAATCATTGCAGCTAAATCTAGCGTTATGAATGCCTAAGAGAGAGTAATCATATAGGAAGCCAGCTAGCTATAAAAATGAGTTAAGGACTTCTGTTAGAAATTGTATTGCAGCTATTATGAATGCACTCTGAGAATAATCTAAGCTTCTATCCCAAACAAAACTAAAAGAAAAGATCATGACTGAATCACAAAAAAAGAAAGAAAATTTCAGCCTACCATGTACACAATAGCCTTAACTCAAATCGAATACTTACTTACCATTAAAAGATGCAAATTTCCTTCGAAACAAAAAGATGACCAAGAGAAGTACACCGCGACTCACCAGCTTCCTCCGACTTGCGCCAGGCAATGTCGAGGTTCCTCCAGGACCCAACCGTATCTCCTCCTCCTCCTGAGCCGCCGCATCCTCCGCCCTGCTGCCGCATCACGTCCTCCACGACGGCCGCGGCGACCGCCGCCTCCTGCTCCGGCGACGCCATGGGGGAGGGCCCGGACCAGGACCAGCGCCGAACCCGGCGACCCGACCGCCGCTGCGACGCCCGGGAGGAGGCGCGATCGCTGGGAGGAGGCGCGGGAAGCCGGTGGAGGGAGCTCTCCTGCAGCTCTCTTCCTTATTCTTGCGGACGGAATGGTGGTGGCGCTCGCGGGGCGGAGAGGGCGGGGGTTGGTGTTTTTGAGGTCGGGGTGGGGAAGAGAGTGGAAATCGGAGGACTTTGAGGTCTGGTTTGCACATATATTTCTTGGAGAATTTAGGGAGACTAAAAATGGGGGTTCTATCATTTGGCTATTTTTGCCTAGATTCTTGGGGGGGAACTGTGGTTGCGTTTGTCATGTGCTATTTTACTTGTTTTCCTTGCTTCCAGTTGAAAAATAAATAGTCTTTTGGTATAAATACATTACCTTTTTTAGATCTCTACAATGTTGATGCCCTTGATGATTTCAATGTACAAAAGATAAAATCTTACTAGTGACATAAGCTATTATAAAATATTTTTAGCCAAATGTGTTTCTCAAACTACGGGATATTGAGTTGGACATAAACCAAGAGGATGTGTGCATGCAGGAAATTGGTTGGGCAACATCTAAAGAAATTAAAAATAAAAGTTATATAAATAAAAGGTACCTGAAAATCAGTTATGCAACAAAACATAGTGAAAAAAATTATATGAAGAAATGGTGTCTTTCCATTGCCTGCATCATTATGGCACTTACCATGTGGATTTTGGCTCCTTCTGGTTTGTAACAAATCAATGGATTTTTGCTAGGAGTTCTGACAATATTATTGATTGTGTGACTGTACACTTAGAGAGAAACATGGGATTTTTCATCTGCCTGCAAGCTGTTCCAGTAAATTGTGATCTAACAGTCTTTCTTAGTAATTTAATTGGTATCTTATAATTACAACTCAACCAGTAACTGGATACGTACAACTGTATTGTCCTTTGATTGATTTTGTTAAATATGTAAGCACAATAATTCCAATATCCAACTCTCCACATATATGTTTGTCTAATTAATACCCTATTTGAGAATTATATGCATTAGTACAAAACTCACATGTATACTACTACAGAAATCTTAACCATGACAGGCAAAAAGGGTTAACCGAGGTGGGCAGCCGGCCCGCCCGCCTCCGAGGCCCAAAGTGAAACGCTGTGTAAAAGATTTTCTGTAGTAGTGGTACACAGTCGATTCAAAATAAGTAACACATTCGGTTTTGCTCTGTAAGTACCATGTCAAATGTAAAGCATGGTTTATTGCACAATTATTTCTAGCATGTACAATTGATTAAAATATATATATGACAGGCGGTTTTGCCTTAAGTACCATTGCAAATGTAAAAGCACTGTCTAGTGCTCCTCTAGAGCCATCACAATAACGACTCAGGCTTACAACCAACAATACTAATTCAAGCATCTCCACAATGAGTTCATACATGTTGATGATTTGGGTTCTATTCTACAGACAATCATTAAAAAGTGATGTTTACAGTCAATTCTATCGTATAAACCATCAACAAAATATATACATACAATAATTTATAAGTTTGCAACTTATCAAAGGAAATTATTAACATCTAAGATAAGTTATATGGAGAACAAATTTTATGTGAAACGGTAGCCCTTCTCAAGATATAAAAACTTTATTGTTGATAACATTTTTGTATAAACTTGATTAAAATTAGAGAAGTTTGGCTTAGGATAAGCCAAGTGAACAATAATTTAGAATGAATAGGGTAAAGATAGAGCAACAAAGGGAGATGGCAAATGGGAAAAAGATTGGGAAAATCTAGCAGAGGCAACAAAGGACTCTGGTGCATCTTAAGGTTTTAGTTTCAAACGGTCAAGCCATTGTCTAAATTCATCAATAATTGCTAGGGCGACCTTTGACAGCAACTATGATTTGATTTGGTCTTAAAAGTTCTTGATTAGTTTCTTCCATTTGAAAGAGTCCACCATATAAGTTGCATAAATCATTGAAGTCCATGGCTTTATGAAATTTTGATGAGCTATTTGTTGAATTTCATGATCCAAGAGACATAAGTAGGGTGAAGTGGAAAAGTCTAGCAAGTACGATGGTTTTTTATCAAATTTAGAGCATAGTAAATTGAAACCAACAAAGAGAGCAGAAGGCCTTTGTTTTTGGCAAACCTCTCAACCCCCCCACACACACACACATACACACCACCACCACCACTAAACAAGTACCTTCACACACCTATCACACAAAAGAACTTGACATTGTAGTTTTATCTCGAGTCGAATTATGTTAAATTTATTAAGAAAACTACATTTATTTTACCAATTATGTATTATTAAATTCATCATGGAACATATTTTCATAATATATTTATAAGGTCTCATAAATGCTAACAATCTTCAGTTTCTTACAAACATAGTTAAATAGTTTTACTTAGGACAAATCTAATTGTATACTTTTTAGGATTGAGGTAGTAGCCAAGTGGAGAATTTGACATTTGGCATGCTCCGTGTCGGGGTTATAACCCCGGGGTGTCCCAAGGCACCGATTAGTTAGCAAGCCGTGCGGCCCACAATATAGCAGCTAACGAAGGCCCGAACGACCGAGGCCCAGCGAAAGTTGAGCGAAGCGGGCCAGCCGCTAAGGCCGGGGTCATCCCTAACCTCTTCCACCCACCTTAGTACACGACACTCGCAAGACGCACGACCTCTCCCCGTCACGACTCCCGGAAGGGATGGGGGAGGTCGAGCACAGCTAGGCATGCCTGCTCTGACAAGAGCAAGCATGCCGCACTGACCCCACAAGGACCGAGGGGATAGTAGTCACCTCGGCCTGGTCAGACACCATCTCTGTGCCATGCCGCACCGATAAGACAACACTGCACCGCGGTGGCAATGGGTACGACACCCACTGTCCAAATATAGACTGACTAGACGCTTATATGATCCTACCCATTACAGGATGGGGATCTATGACAAGGGGCTCGATGAAAAGGCCATCCAGACCGGCAGAGTGTCCCGACCCCGATGAATGGGGTCGTGGCCCTCGGCCCCGCAAAGCGACCAAGCGATCGATGACCCAGGGTAGCTACCTACTTTGGGTACGACACCCCTAGGAACCAGGAGACGATGACGAAGGCCACGAAGGACACCGCGTTGCACAAGACAGCTGAAGAACCGCCATCGAGGATACAGTGCCGCCACGGTCGGCACAGTAGCGCCACATCACATCCTGTCGCAACATGGCCAGAAGACCCTGACGATAGCCACGATCGGACGTGCACCAGAAGATGGTGTAACTTGCAAGCCAAGTTAGCTAGGTCATCCCTCAGGCTCTCGACCTTTCGATCGTAAGAACCTTCTCTTTGTATAAGCCCTGGCCCCGAACTCTATATAAGGGCAGCCAGGGCACCCATCTCGGGGAATGATTCACATCATCTACCATTCCATTTATTCACTATTCTAGTAGGGCCCTTAGAGCTTCTGTTCAGGCAGCCCTTCGCCTAGTATAGGTCCTTCCATCTCTTTCACCTTTTTTGCACCTCCATTGTAAGAACTTTAGAGCATTCAAGCGAGGAACACGCACTCGATCATCTTTGAAACTGGACGTATGGCTCTGGCCTGAACCAATATAAATCCTCTTATCTATTGGATGCTACCATCGTCTTTCTAAAATAGCACGGCAATCGTATAAGTTTACTAGTCCGGTTTACAAAATACCGACACTCCGGTACTTCCAACCAACACATTTTGGGAATTTTCGCTTGGAACAGAGTTTGGTAGGTTGTGACTATGATGTTTGTTATAGTAAAAAAATCTATTTTAGGCATATTAGATGTTTCAACCTCCAACCGTCAAAACCAGACAATTTGAGTAACGGACGGCCTCCAATCGTCAAAACTAGACAAATTTGGTCCAATTTTTGGTTCAAAGGTGGGTTCCTATTTCATAAAAACAATAAAAATCTAGTTTACTATATAAAAAATTAGAAACAAATTATTTTAAATCAGAAAAATAAGAAACTAGTATCTATTTTTTTCTAAAATGTTACCTACATGTTTATGATCTATATATATTTATTTGGAACACGCTTATTTATGTTCCTATTGCTTTATTGCTTGTACTTGTGCATTTGTGCTCATTATTTGTTTAAAACAAATAAAATCTAAACAACTCTAAAATGGAGCACCAAAAAATAGATAATATTTTTAGAAAAAAATTTGTACTACTTCGTATTTTTCTAATGTAAAATAAATTATGAATTTTAAGAGATCAAACCAGAATTTTATCATTTTTACGAAATAGAAATACCACCATTGAAAACAGCTATAGGACAAAATTTGCTAGGTTTCAACATTAAGGGCCCTCTGGTTTCATGGTGCAGGGTTGAAAATCAGATTGAAGTGCAACTTGGAGGTTGAAAAATGTACTTGCTTACCGTTAGTAGTAGTTTGAGGTGTTTTAGCAGCAGGAATTTCAGTATCCCTACACCAATATCTACTTTAACTTTGTTGTGTTGGTATTTGCTAGTCTCATTGGAGGTTTCATAATAATTTTATATAAAAAAGCTACTAACTCAACAAATATGCTGACATGATACAATATTAATGAAGAAAGATGATCAAAGTTTCATGAAAGTAAAATGAAATTCATCAGCCGGAGAAGAAGTCAGTCCACATTGTTTTCGTGTTGGAAATTGAGACACAAAACTCCACTGAGACTGACCTTGATAATCTGCTAGTTGTAGAAACGGACCAATTCCCAAAGAAAAAATGATAATTCTTGGCATAGGGCGTCCGTCCACGCACGGACGCTCCCGATGGTGGGCTGCCCGCGCCAGCCCAACGACCACCTCTAAAAAAACCAGGATGAAGCAATGTCGGGTGTGGCCTTATCCATTCGAGCGAGCTAGCCTCATCCATTATTCACCAAGGCAGGAGGTGGGCGAGATGCGGAGGCAGTGGCGTCGGGTTAGCGATGCAGCCGCAGAGGCAACAGCATCCACCTCGCGCACGACAGTGCATCTCCGTTCCCCAGCGTCGCGATGGTAGGGATCTGGCGGCCGCCCTCAGGAAACCATTGCACTTTTGGCGTCCATCTGCCAGCTTGCTGCCCTTCTGCGCTCTTGTGGCCCGCATCTCCGACTACCACTGTGCTTCCCATGTCCAGCTGCCAACGCGCAAGCAAGGCGATAGCACCTCCGAGGCCCGAGCGCGTGGGAGGAAACGGTGGCTCCAGAGGCTGCGTGCGAGCAAGACAAGCGGCTCGTGGGAGATGAGCACGGCGACGGAGACCCATGCCGCCGCGCGGGAGGGAGGCGAGGGTGGCTATTGCCTAGAGCTGGTAATCCGCCGCAGCCTTCTAGAGCGCGTGGACCTACCACGGCCTTTTCCACTGGGTCTGCCGCGGCCTTCTCCACCAGAGGTGGGAGCTCCGTGCCCTACACCGGTGAACTCCACATACCGATGAGCCTCCATTCCGAAACAGCGAGAAAATATTACGCTGAAAGCGCACGTTGCAAACATATGTTTTAATTGTTTCAGATGTTGCAGAGATTGGATGTTACACATGTTGCAATGGTTGCACACGTATGTTGCAAGCTTCTGTTCCCAATGTTTCATCTGTGTTTTCTTCAGACGCAAAATACAAATGTGTTTATTCGGATGTTGCATATGTTTCACGTATATGTTGCAAGTGTTTTATGTGGATGTTGCGTATGTTTGCAATGGTTTCAAGTTTTTTACGTGTGTTTTTGCAAGTGTTCCATACGCATGTTTTAAGTGTTTCATACGCATGTTTCAAGTGTTTCATTTGTCTTCAGACGAATGTTGCAAGTGTTGCATTTGGATGTTTTCAAAACTAGATCAAATGTTACACATGTTGCATTGCGCGTGAGAAGCGGAGGAGACGCGAGCGGTCCCCGTGTGCGGTCAGGCGGCGCGAGCTGCGTGGGCCCCGCATGGGCACGTGAAACATAGGCACTGGCGGGGGCGTGCTGTTTTTTTTTTTTTTGGTTTTGTGCGAGCGCGGGAGTGAATGCAAGGACCATAAAAAACGGACACTTTACCAAAGAGCATTTGCTTCTTCTTCGGTGGAACGCTGGTGCGAGCGCAGGAAACATAGCGTAGTGCCGACGTCCAGTCGCGAACCTCGGGCCGGGACGAGTCGTCCCCAAGAAAAAAATGATACACTCGGACGGCAGCGACATAGGCCAGCAGATGCTATTGGCGACGTGGCAGCGACGGCCAGAGACTTGGACCGTTGGACGCCCCTAGCCAGATGCTATTGCTACCGTCATCATTTTCTGAATCCTTGTCTTTCTCTACTCGTGTCAGTCAGGCTCTCGTGGACGAAGAAATGGCTCCTTCTCTGCAGGCCCATAGAATTAACTATAGACACCATGCTGTTGTTAAAAAAAAAAAACTATAGACACCATGCATATGGAATGATATACGGCCATGAGCCCATGATAGCTTCATAATTAACAAGAATAACAGTTTATCAAAAAATAACAAGATAATAACAGCAACTGACAGTCAAATTACTCTTTCTATGCACTTGACACAGCAGTCTGCAGCTTTGCACTTCGTTCGTTCACGCCCACCGACCGGCCGGCATGGTGTTCGCGTTCGTGGCCGGCAGCAGCAGCGTGGCGGCGGAGGCGCTAACGACGGCACGGTTCACCCGTCAGGTGCTCTCCGGACGATGGTTCACGTTATTCGCGTGCCTGCTGATCCTGTTGGCGTCAGGCGCGACGTACGCGTTCGGCATCTACTCCCGGGCGCTCAAGTCGGCGCTGGGCTACGACCAGCGCGCCGTCGCCACGCTCGCCTTCTTCAAGGACCTGGGCAGCAACGTGGGCGTCCCCGCGGGGCTGCTCAGCGAGGTGGCCCCGGCGTGGGCCGTGCTCGCCGTCGGCGCCGCCATGAACCTCGCGGGCTACCTCATGGTCTACCTCTCCCTCGCCGGCCGGGTCCCCGCTCCGCCGCCGCTCTGGCTCATGTGCGCCTACGTCTGCGCGGGCGCCAACTCGCAGGCGTTCGCCGGCACCGGCGCGCTGGTCACGTGCGTCCGGAACTTCCCCGAGGCCCGCGGCGCCGTGCTCGGCCTGCTCAAGGGATACGTCGGCCTCAGCAGCGCCATCCTCGCGCAGATCTACCTCGCCCTTTACGGCGGCGGCGACGCCCGGTCGCTCGTCCTGCTCATCGCCTGGCTCCCCGCCGCCGTCTCCGTCGTGTTCCTTGGCACCGTCCGTGTCATGCCTCCGGATCACCGGCGGCCAAAGAGGGGCACTCACCGCGGCAGAGGCGGAGGTGGCGACGTGTTCCTCTGCTTGCTCTACATCTCCGTCGCGCTCGCCGCGTACATCCTCGTCATGATCGTCGTGCAGAGGCAGGCCAGCTTCTCGTGCGCCGCCTACGCCGCGTCGGCAGCAGGGCTCCTCGTCCTTCTCTTCCTGCCCCTCGCCGTCGTCGTCAGGCAGGAGTACCGGATCAAAAAGGAGCTCGAGGATTCTCTGAGTCACGCCCCAGCTGTGATGGTGACGGTCCTTGAGAAATCCACCGTCATGCCATTGGCCGAGCCAGCGAGCACTACTACCGATACGCCACGGGCTTCCTCTTGCCTGGGCTCCTTCTTGCGGCACACGTTCAGCCCGCCGGCGCACGGTGAGGACTACTCCATCCTGCAGGCGGTGGTGAGCGTGGACATGCTGATCCTGTTCGTAGCCATCGCCTGCGGCGCCGGCGGCACGCTGACGGCGATCGACAACATGGGGCAGATCGGGCAGGCGCTGGGCTACCCGTCCAAGAGCGTGGACGCCTTCGTCTCCCTCATCAGCGTCTGGAACTACGCCGGCCGCGTCACCGCCGGGTACGCCTCGGAGGCGCTCCTGTCGCGGTACAGGTTCCCGCGGCCGCTGGCGCTCACGCTCGTCCTCCTCGCGTCCTGCACCGGTCACCTCCTCATCGCCTTCGGCGTCCCGCGCGCGCTCTACGCGGCGTCGGTGCTCGTCGGCTTCTGCTTCGGCGCGCAGTGGCCGCTGCTGTACGCCATCATCTCCGAGCTGTTCGGGCTCAGGCGATACCCCACGCTCTACAACCTGGGCGCCGTCGCCAGCCCTGTCGGCGCCTACGTGCTCAACGTGCGCGTCGCCGGCCGGCTCTACGACTCCGAGGCCGCGAGGCAGCACGGCGGTGGCTCGCTGGGCGCCGCCGGTGGGGACAAGGCGTGCTTCGGCGTGGAGTGCTTCCGGACGTCGTTCCTCGTCATCACGGCCGCCACGGTGGGCGGCGCGCTCGTGTCGCTGGTGCTCGTGTGGAGGACCAGGGACTTCTACAGGGGTGACATATACGCCAAGTTCAGGGACGGAGTGGTGGTGGAGTCGCCGGGTGATGGTGGCCCGTCGGCGGCGGAGCAGCGCCCGAGCGAGGAGGGCAGTGGAGGTAGAGTGAACGGAGGTCAACGAGATGACTAGTGTCTGCTATACTTGCTTCAGTAGGAGATCAGTTTCAGTACCTGATTTTTCTCAGCAAGCACTGACAATGCCACAATTTTTGTTCAAATGGTTGAATTCCGTTTAAAATACTAGAACCTTTTGTAGTCAAAATATTCCAATTTAGACATGATCAAGACATCATCACCTGATTTGTTTATTAGAGTGAAATTCATCACACTGAAGTTGTCTGCAAGTGTCATAGACTATAGGTCCCGAAGTCTTAAAATGTATTTTTAGGTCTCTGAAGTTAATTCAGGTCTCATTTAGGTACAAACGGACTTTTACCCGATCCAGTAGCAGACGTGGTATTGCTGACTCAGCGCTTACATGAATCTGACAGATGGAAACCCATGTCAGCGACAAGGCTCAATCTTTAAAAAACATATCTTTTTTGTGTGACCTCGGATAAAGATGTTTTCTTATATAAAAATTGTAGCCCTCAATAAGTAGCCGCGCTAGGGTACTCGTGTGTATTCCATGGAATACCCAAGATTTTGAAGACAAAACAAATATATATATGCATATGTATAATGGTTTAACATGTATAGTTGCTAGATGTTGCAAATATCGCCCAAAGCCCAACAGAAACCAGGGATTCTCAGCCCACCAAATATTGCTTGCTGACAGCCGCTCTCATCGCATCGCACGCGTCTGGAGCCGGCGGCGCGGAACGGCGGATGCAGGGGCGGAACTGCGGAAGGAAGGGATCCCATCGGCTCGGCGTTCGGCGACCGCGAGCCTCGCGGGCACGGCGGCACGCCGCACGCCCCCTCGGAGTCGGAAGACACATTCCCTTTCTCAAAAGGTCTCGGTTAGTCCAGCTGGTACACAGAGTTTACTTCGATTTGATAAAGTATTGTTATATACAACTCTATTTTCCCCAAACATGTGCCTACTGCATGCAGCAAACGCTATACTATCAAATTCGTAAAATATTTTTAAAAAAAACATGTCATCATTTTTAATATCTATTTTGAAGCAATTAAGATTCACTTCATTATTCTTATCCACATTGTTTGCTGCATTATCTAATTGAGTTTCATTTTTATATGTGTTCGATTCAGCTTTTCCAAACATTGGTTCTCGGAGAATTCATCCAAAACTAATCTTTAAATTTCTGCAGCAACGCGTGGGGAATCACCTGGTCTTTCCTAACTATCAGAGACAATGGCACTATGCCACTATATTTAGAGCTTGTACTTTGCTTATTACTATTGTACATTTGTATGAAAATTTTTTATGTACGTGGAATACCCAGCCATGAAATCCTGGCTCCGTCACTGTCGATAAGATCTGCAACTTTCTAGTTTTAAGTTTTTTTTATTTAAGATCGTTAAGTTAGTCAAAAAGTACAAACTTGTCGTCTAAAAAAAATCATATCTTTTTTGTATGGGGTCGGATAAAAATACTTTTTTATATGAAAGTTGTAGCGCTCAACGAGATCTACAACTCTAAAGTTTTGAATTTTGTCATTTGAAAAAAATAAAGTTTTAGCAGCATATTAATCGCATATCGGGCCTTGTTGCCTTAGAAAAATCATATCTTTTTTGTATGCGGTTGCATAAAAATACTTATATACAAAAATTATAGTGCTCGATGAGATCTACAACTTTCAAGTTTTTCTAGATACATTGGAATGAATTTCACTCATTTGTTTACACCTACTGAGAACTTCCCCGGCAATGCCATGGCGTGCGGGCAGCGTGCACACACCATGTACCATATCTACCGAAGGTACGCCAGGTTGCCGCTCCATGGGGCTCGCCATAAAGGTCATGGCTCATGTTTTCTATGCAATCCAACCTACTTGAACCAGTCCAGCCACACCTCGTCGTGGGGCTAGAGTTTGTTGAGAAATGTCTGCATGCCGGAGAATTGGTCATTTATGTATTGGGTATTTTGCAGATGCGTGAATGTTGTTTTTGTCCCTAAGGGCATATGCCCCATGTGCATGCACCGTTTGATGCCTATGGGGATGCGTGTGCGGTAGGAGAGACGAGACACATGCATCCCATGTGCATTCAACAGTGATGCACATGAGGGCATGTGCCTTTGGGAGCAATTTTTCTATGTTTGATGTGGACTCCACTGATTAGCATGTACTCATTGACTAAGAGGCTCCCTAGCTTCCTGATGAGGGATTTTGCGGCATCTTTCGATGCGCCAACAGTGATGTCCATGGTCATTGGCCGTCGCTCGCTACACCCCGATGCAGAATTTGACACACTCTACCACTCTAGAGTCTGGACATGGCAGCACTCAAAACAAAAGATGCCCATGAGTGCCCTAGAACATTCCAATCCAATGACAAACAAGAAGAAAGGTCAGCAATTCACACCTGTCGGCTTCCTCGCGAGCAACATTGGACAAGAGAACGAGATTGAGGAAATAATCAGAGCAAAATTGGTCACATCACTATTGCCCCTTGGCCCGCTCCCATGACCTCAGCCCCTAACCTCACCGGTCACCACTGCCACCTGGGTCATTTGGCCACCGTTGACAAGAAGCAGCTACGACTTGACTTCACAGAGAGATGCCTTGCACGGCGCAGCGTCTCGATAGATCTTGCCTCCGCCTCATAGCCGACGTCGTCTAAACTTATCTCATGTCTGGGAAAGGATGGCAGGACGGGAAGATCGAGGCGACGGAGGGGTTTCTTGCTTTTTGGGGCGGCGTCAGTGAGGATGACGCCTTTGAGGAGTAAGGGATTGATTCTTCTACCCTAAGAAAGTCATAGGCGTCGGTGGCCATTGTTGTCGACTATTGGTTGGTTGGGAGCTTCCACGATATGTCCGCACATCCACGTGCCTCCGTCTTTGCAATTTAGCATGGACCTATGGCAAGAGTGGCCATCCCCTTGGCACGGTCTCCATGTGCCACCATCTCATTGGTGCGAGCTCTGTGCCATGCTAGGAGTGGGCAACTAGGGGCGGAGCCAGGTATCTGGCAGCAGTGGCGGAGCTCTTCAATTTTGACGCCTAGGGCCGCTATCAAAGCGTATATAGCGCTCGCATCGGGTCAAAATACCGATAGATAACAAAACTAGCTTATAAATACATAAGTTTAGATTATATCTTAATTCCATACTTAAATTCATAACATAGTTGATAGAAACATGAAAGTGGTTACAGAATTATCTAACTAATGATGGTTTGGATCAGCCTTGCCTGTCATATTTTCATCAAGAGCATCATATGAACTTGAGCATACATACAAATTAGCAATGTAATCCATAAAATACAATTGATCATTCTACTGCTGCTGGTTCTACTAAAATCTGTGTTCCTTCTACTACTTCTGATTGTGCTTGTGCAGAAGGTGGGATTTGTGACACTGGTTGTATAATTGGCGTAGGAGCAGGAGAAAAAAAGATTTTAATGGCATGGTCCTTTTCATTGTGCAACTCTATAGACTACAAAAATTGAGATAATCAATTATCATTCTTGGAATTTCTAGACTGCAAATTTGATTTGACAATTGGGAATTTGGGATTGGGAATTACCGAGCTCAGAAGTCAGAAAGAAGATAGCACAGCACAGGCGGCTGCGAGCTATGGGCCGGCGTCCACGGCCAGTGCGCCACCGTGCCAGGCCAAGGCTGGCCGGCGGGCGGCCGCTGCCGTGCTCGCGTGGTTCGGCGCTCAGGCGGTGGCGACTGGCGAGCGAGAGCGGCGGCGGAGGGGATGTGCCTGGGGCTGGGGGCTGCGCCACTGGGCGCCTGGCCGCTGGGGGCTGGGGCCTCGGCCCTGCTCGGCGAGACTGCGACGGCGAGTCGGAGGAGAACTGGCGCTAGGTCGCGAGTGGAGAGGAAGTCCGCCGCGGCGCCGCACGAAGTCTCGCCAGTTGCCAACTCTGCCTCTCCTCTTTTTTTTCTGGGCTGGAGGTAGGATGGATTTTGGCCCAACGATTAGAGCCACGCCGAAAAAAACACCTATACTATAAGGGAAAATTTGGGCCACGCCTGGGGCCATGGCCCTAGTTGCCCCAGGCCCAAATCTGCCCCTGTCTGGCAGGGTCTAGCAGCTGCCATACCTAAAATAAAATATGTAGAAGAGACCAATTATATGTTGATATATATGTCAATAAGTGCCATTACTGTTTGGATTTCTATTATATTTATTGATCACAAAGTAATATATATTGATATAATGCTGTACTGAGCCATTGCATAGATGCATATTAGATGTTTCATCTTTATAAACTTCGCCACACCATAAAATTATTCCTGCTTCTACCACTGTGGGCAACCTCTTGGTAGATCTTACCTTTCTGCTGCCATCCATTTTGCTTTATTACTACTCTTGTCACATTGGGTTTTCTTTTCCTCCCCTCTCCGGTTTCAGATTTGGCTAAGCTTCCTTTTGCTTTTTGTGTGCCTATGTCACATCCCTGCTCGGGGGTGGGCTAGTGTTTGTGTTGACTAAGGTCAAAGCTTGATGAAGTGACGTGATGTACATGGAAGGAGAGTGGACGAAGGTCAACGAGATGACTAGTGTTTGCGTTGACAGGTCAAAGCTTGACGAAGTGAGGTGATGTAAAAAAATCAGCTGACAATGCCACAATATTTGTTCAAATAGTTGAATTTCGTTTGAAAGACCAGAACCTTATGTAGTCAAGATGTTGACGAGGCCAAATTTACATATGATCAAGACGTCATACCCGATTTGTTTACAGCCACACTACTGGAGTACTGGAGGCTAACTTATAAATGCAACTTGAGCTGATAGTTGCAGCCGCTGGGGGATCCGGGCCAGCCCATGTTCAGGCCCACGGCATGTTGGCCCAATTTGAGGGCCAGACCAGCACAGACATCTCCGACAGTCCAGGCCGGTAAGTTCACGGGCCGAAAGCCAGCCTCAGCACTCTGAAAGTTTTGGCAGAAATAGTATTTTTTAAAATAGAATAAAAATAGTATTTATGCAACACATGGATAGCCCTAAATTTAACCTCATGTGTTTCTTAACTTGGTTAGACATTTGC